ATTTTTTTTTATCCTAGGTAATTTACACGTTTGTTTAAATATGTATGGTAATTATACCTATGTCTGTGTGTCTGCAGGGGTCAAGTCATAGCTCCTGGCCCTAGCGAGTTGTCGGACTTGCTTGCTGTTCTGTGATTCGGTCACATTATAATACTGACAACATCAGTAATTAGATACGTGCAACACTGCCTAGATGCTGGTAAAGGGTTCTTGTTCCAAGGAATTGTGTTAGCCTCCTCTTCCTTGGATCAGACATCACTGCCGCCAGTTTCCGTGGTGTTGTATGACCCTTACTGATTGAGAGATTTTCTTTGAATATAATAATGCTTTAAAATTATTGTTGAACAACAAACTATATTTTTTCATTCAATAGAAGAATTTTTTTATAATGGCCATCTCCCACTGAAGTAGGATAACTGAAAAAGAAATACTTTCACCATTACTCACACCATCAGTCTTGTCAGTGGTGTGCCACAGATGCCCCTCCAAGTTGCAATATCCCTATCCCTCCTTCAGAGTGCTGGCACGGCACTTCTCACCTCCAGGATTCACTTACCTAACTGTTATATCAGTAAAGGATCCCAGTGCTTTATAGTTATCTGTTTACAATAATGTATTATCACTGATTTCATCATTGCTTAGTTAATTTTAAGCCAGCCCGAAATGCTATGCATAGTATAAGTGGCTTTGGCATGCTGCTCTTATCTGTATTTTTTTGTACCTCTGTATGTATGCTCAAATTGTTAATAAATAAATAAAAAATAAATAAATAAATGTATGATAATCTATAACTGTGTTTGTGTATCCCTGAATTTATTTATTTATTTATTTATTAATTTGAACATGATACAGAGAAGTACAAGGAATACAATTTTTAAAGTTCAACATGCCAAAGTTCCTTGTATGCAGAACATTATGGGCAGCTTAAAATTAACTTAAGATTAACTAAGCAATGATATATTCAGTGGTACAAAAATTATTGTAAAACAGATAATTTAGTACAAATGAGTATTACAAAGACAGGTCATATGGTCATTTACTGTGTTACTGTGTAATCAGTAGAATGGAGTATTATGTTAGGTAATGAAGTTAAATAGTAACAAAGTTTGATTGGGTCACAGGTTGACATTTATGAGATACAATAATGAGATACATATATGAGATACAATTTATGAGATACAATTATTCAGTATTTATTTAGTTGTGGGTGAGTTATTCAGTATTTATTTAGTTGTGGGTGAGTAAGTGATTTTTGAGAAGAGACTTGAATTTATAAACAGACAGTGTTTCTTTTATATTCACAGGTAATGAATTCCAGATTTTAGGGCCTTTTATGTGCATTGAGTTTTTGCATAGTGTGAGATGGACATGAGGAACATCAAAGAGTGATCTGTGCCTTGTGTTATGGTCATGTGTTCTGTTGAGGTTGGTAAGATGTTTGAGGGGAGGGTTTATGTCAGAGTTAAGTGTTCTATGTATGTGGTAGGTGCAGTAATAAGTATGGATGTTTTGTATTGTGAGTAGGTTTAGTGGTTTGAATATTTGTGGAGTGTGCTGTCTGTAGTGGGAATTTGTTATCATTCTGACTGCAGCCTTTTGTTGGGCGATTAGTGGTCTGAGATGGTTTATTGTTGTTGAGCCCCATGCACAAATTCCATAGGTGAGATAGGGGTAAATAAGTGAGTGATATAGGGCCAGGAGGGCTGACTGTGGAACATAGTACCGTATGTTCAATAGTATGCCTACGGAAATTTGTTGTGTGTGTGTTTGAAATTTGAGTCTATTATCAAGGTGGATTCCTAAGAATTTTCCCTCTGTGAGTTTTGTGATAGGTGATTCATTTATCATTATGTTTAGAGAAACATTTGTATCTCTGTTACCAAACTGAATATAGTAGGTTTTGTCAATGTTTAGAGTAAGTTTGTTGGTCCTCATCCAGGTAGATATTTTCTGTAAGTCGGTATTTACAGTATTGGCTAGCATGACTAGGCTCGGGTGAGAGTAGACGTATGTAGTGTCATCTGCAAATAGTGTGGGTTTGAGTAGTTGCGATGCATTTGATAGGTCATTTATGTATATGAGAAAGAGAAGAGGGCCTAGGACACTTCCCTGTGGGACACCAACTGTAATTGACTGTGCGGAAGAGTTTCCCCCATTTGTGTACACATATTGGCTTTGTTGCTGAGGTATGACTTTAGGTAGTTGAGGGAGTGCCCTCTTATACCATAGTGCGACAATTTTATGTGGAGCAAGTCGTGGTCAACTGTATCGAAAGCTTTGCGTAAGTCAATGAAGATCCCCAGTGGGACTTCTTTTTTCTCTATTGCTGTATAAATATGTTCTAGCATGTGGCTAATAGCATCATTAGTATTTTTATTAGGCCTGAACCCAAATTGACAGGGGTTGAGTATGTTGTGGGAGATGAGGTAGGAATAGATACGCTTATGGATTAATTTTTCAAAGATTTTAGAGAGAGGGTGTAAGTTGGATATTGGCCTATAATTATTCAAGTCTGTGTGGTCTCCTCCTTTATGGATCGGGGTGACCCTTGCTATTTTGAGAACTGTAGGAAAGGTAGAGGATTCAATGGATTTGTTAAAGAGTGTTGCAATGATTGGTGATAGCACCTGTGACACTTTTTTGTATATAATGGGTGGTAAGGTATTTAAATCTCCTGTCTTGTTTTTTAGTTTGTTGATAATAAGGGAGACTTCAGTTGGGTTAGTCGGAGCTAGGAACAGTGTGTTCGGATAGTTGCCAGTGAGGTAGTCATTGGATGGGGTATCTGAGCTTGGGATTTTATTGGCAAGGTTTTTTCCTATAGTGAAGAAGAAATCATCGAGTCTGTTTGCTGTTTCAGTAGGTGGGAATTGGGGTTCATCTGGTTTTGTTAATTCAGTTTCGCTATTTCGTGTTATCTTTTTTGTTCCTAGTATTTCTGATAGGGTTTTCCAGGTCTTTTTTATGTCACCTCGTAAGTTGGATAATCTGTTCTCATAATACAATTTTTTAGCCCTTCTTATTAGGCTGGTTGGGATTGACGAGTAACGTTTTGTTTGGTCTCTGGTTATGTGGCCCATTCTGTACTGTTTTTCATATTGGTGCTTTGTATTTATGGATTTGAGGATACTGGGTGTTAGCCAGGGACTGTTCAGTCTCTTCGCAGTCATCTGTTTAGTTTTTTTTCGGGCAGTGCTTGTTATAGAGGTATTGGGTCTTTTTTGGAAAATTATTAATTATTTTTTTTTTTTATTAACACACTGGCCGATTCCCACCAAGGCAGGGTGGCCCAAAAAAGAAAAACTTTCACTATCATTCACTCCATCACTGTCTTGCCAGAAGGGTGCTTTACACTACAGTTTTTAAACTGCAACATTAACACCCCTCCTTCAGAGTGCAGGCACTGTACTTCCCATCTCCAGGACTCAAGTCCGGCCTGCTGGTTTCCCTGAATCCCTTCATAAATGTTACTTTGCTCACACTCCAACAGCACATCAAGTATTAAAAAGCATTTGTCTCCATTCACTCCTATCAAACACGCTCACGCATACCTGCTGGAAGTCCAAGCCCCTCGCACACAAAACCTCCTTTACCCCCTCCCTCCAACCTTTCCTAGGCCAACCCCTACCCCGCCTTCCTTCCACTACGGACTGATACACTCTTGAAGTCATTCTGTTTCACTCCATTCTCTCTACATGTCTGAACCACCTCAACAACCCTTCCTCAGCCCTCTGGACAACAGTTTTGGTAATCCCGCACCTCCTCTTAACTTCCAAACTACGAATTCTCTGCATTATATTCACACCACACATTGCCCTCAGACATGACATCTGCACTGCCTCTAGCCTTCTCCTCGCTGCAACATTCATCACCCATGCTTCACACCCATATAAGAGCGTTGGTAAAACTATACTCTCATACATTCCCCTCTTTGCCTCCAAGGACAAAGTTCTTTGTCTCCACAGACTCCTAAGTGCACTGCTCACCCCTTTTCCCCTCATCAATTCTATGATTCACCTCATCTTTCATAGACCCATCCACTGACACGTCCACTCCCAAATATCTGAATACATTCACCTCCTCCATACTCTCTCCCTCCAATCTGATATCCAATCTTTCATCACCTAATCTTTTTGTTATCCTCATAACCTTACTCTTTCCTGTATTCACTTTTAATTTTCTTCTTTTGCATACCCTACCAAATTCATCCACCAACCTCTGCAACTTCTCTTCAGAATCTCCCAAGAGCACAGTGTCATCAGCAAAGAGCAACTGTGACAACTCCCACTTTATGTGTGATTCTTTATCTTTTAACTCCACGCCTCTTGCCAAGACCCTCGCATTTACTTCTCCTACAACCCCATCTATAAATATATTAAACAACCACGGTGACATCACACATCCTTGTCTAAGGCCTACTTTTACTGGGAAATAATCTCCCTCTTTCCTACATACTGTAACTTGAGCCTCACTATCCTCGTAAAAGCTCTTCACTGCTTTCAGTAACCTACCTCCTACACCATACACCTGCAACATCTGCCACATTGCCGTCCTATCCACCCTGTCATACGCCTTTTCCAAATCCATAAATGCCACAAAAACCTCTTTAGCCTTATCTAAATACTGTTCACTTATATGTTTCACTGTAAACACCTGGTCCACACACCCCCTACCTTTCCTAAAGCCTCCTTGTTCATCTGCTATCCTATTCTCCGTCTTACTCTTAATTCTTTCAATAATAACTCTACCATACACTTTACCAGGTATACTCAACAGACTTATCCCCCTATAAATAAAAAAAAGGCACAATACCGTGACTGGAACGATACACAAATAACCCGCACATAAAAGAGAGAAGCTTACGACGACGTTTCGGTCCGACTTGGACCATTTACAGTGTGACTTTGCAAATGGTCCAAGTCGGACCGAAATGTCGTCGTAAGCTTCTTTCTTTTATGTGCGGGTTATTTGTGTACTGTATATCCCCCCTATAATTTTTGCACTCTCTTTTGTCCCCTTTGCTTTTATACAAAGGAACTATGCATGCTCTCTGCATATATAACAGTACATATATAACAGTAGTTATATATATATGTATTTATTTATATATTCAACTTGGGGTATTTTCAACTTAGGATGGGTTTGTTGGAACGTAACCCCATTGTAAGTCTAGGACTACCTTTACAGTAAAAATCTTTTACAATAAGAGCACAACTTAGAAACACGTTGAGAATTTTATGTATTGTATATATGATTATTGTGTATAATATCATTATTATACACAATTCAGGAGGTCCCCAATGTGTTCGTAAATTCAAGACTTATTGTATTTAGTTTTTAATTTGTTTTTAATAATTACAGCTGTAGTCTGGCAGTACAGTTAGCCAAAATCCGGCAGTTGGTCCTCATCATCTCTACGGATCCTGTGCACAACATCTCTGATGCCTTTGACCAAAAGTTATGCATGGTTCCTATTCGAGTCAAGAGGGTTTGACAACCTATATCCTATGGTAAGGTTTGACAGCTATTGTATGGAGAGACTTGCCAGCAATGTCTGGTTAAAAGTCACTGTGTTCATAGCAAGGATTAATAAATCCTGAATCACTTTGAAGTATTAATGTGTACTTTTAAAATTGTATCATTATTCATTAATCTACCTCTCTTGTTTTATACATTTAAAAATGCCTGCTTAACCTGCATCTAGTTCTTAAAAAAATACTCTTTAAACATTAGGGTTACTGTATTATACAGTATGAAGGACCTCTCTCTTCCCTTCCCTCCCATTCTGACTGCATAATTTAAAAAAAAAAGGATAAATGATATCCATGGTATAAATTACTACATTTACATTTAGTAATTTATACAGAAGGGGTTATTAGCCCCTTGCTCCTGGCATTTCACTCACCTCTTACAGCACATATGGCTTATGGAGGAAGGATAATATATTGAATTATGCCCTAAAATGTTGATTGTATTTCAGGCTGGTTCAGGATATGGACTTAGAGTGTTGGTGTTTTGACACTGCTCCAACCGGGCACACACTGCGTCTAATCTCGTTTGCTCAAGTAATTGAAAACTCAATAGGGGAGTTAATGAGAAGCAACCAGATCAGTCCCTTCATAAACCAGGTAACTTGCTTACAAAATATTCATTTTGTTTTATTTTTTTTTTTTTGTTTATTAACGCTTTCACTGTCGAGACATCCCCCCCCCCCAAACTTCTTCTCAATGTCGAAGAATTTAAAAAAAAATTATTTTCTCCTATGAAATGGTGGAGAATCTTTTTCCAATGGTAATGAAACTAAAAGTATGAAATTTGATGGAAAACTTACGGAATTACGCTCTCGCGAAGTTAGCGGTTTCGGCATTATTTATGCATTGGCGATTTTGCTCACTTTGAGCCCTATTTTGGGCCAATTCCATTGTACCAAACTCATGGCTATTTAGCTAGAACTACCTTTCTTCTATCGATTGAGTACAAGAAACTGCACATTTACAGATTTCATCTACCCAATAAAGTTATCAGAAATCGGTAATTTGGCCAATTTCATACACAATTCGAGGAAGGCCAATTTTAAAATAGTCCAAAATTAACAATGCAGACATTCTTAGCAATAAAATAACATTTTCTCTGTTTGTTTGTCATATCTCCAGGTCCCTCTTATATTATTATTCTTTACATTTTGTATTTTTATTTCGTCATATCTCCAGGTCACTCTTATATTATTATTCTTTACATTTTGTATTTTTATTTCGTCATATCTCCAGGTCACTCTTATATTATTATTCTTTATATTTTGTATTTTTATTTCGTCATATTTCCAGGTCACTCTTATATTGTTCTTCTTTATATTTTGTATTTTATTCACATAAAAAATATAAGATTTACTGTTGTGCAGACTACTGCATTATTATAATAATTGTATAAATAATGTCAACCCATTTGTGACTGTGTATTAGACTGGCCAATTGGACACGTATTGAACATGGGCAAAAATTTAACATTTCTGCTACTTTGAGCTCAATTTCAAGGTACTTGTCATCGTTTTACCAATCAAAATCATCTCCATTTCTGTAATATATCTTCCATTCTATCAAATGAGACCAAGAAAATGAGAATACAGCTGTAAATACCATACGAAAATACATCACAAAGTCACTTGTTTTGAACCAACAACACGGTCGAATTTTTTTTTCCTCATTGTGCACTGCGTGCTAAAGGATTTTTTACATTGCGCACACGACCACACAGACCCATTCTTTCATATGTAGGCCTACCAGCTTTCTTCCACCAGATTTTAAGAACATAAGAAGACCATAAGAAAGAAGGAACACTGCAACAGGCCTACTGATCCATGCAGAGCAGGTTCATGCCCCCCCCCCCCCCCGAATAAGACCAATTCCCCCCCCCCCCCCCCCCCCCCCCCGGATTAACCCAATGACCCACCCAGTCTGGTCACCTCCACTCAAGGATGGAGCACTGCACCAGACCCAGCAGCACAAACTAGTCAGGTCCAACTCACACCCATCCACACCCACTCATGTATTTATCTAACCTATTTTTAAAACTACACAACATTTTAGCCTCAATAACTGTACTCAGGAGTTTGTTCCACTCATCCACAACTCTATTACCAAACCAGTACTTTCCTATATCCTTCCTGAATCTGAATTTTTCCGACTTGAAACCATTGCTGCGAGTCCTGTCTTGGCTGGAAATTTTCAGCACACTATTTACATCCCCTTTATTTATTCCTGTTTTCCATTTATACACCTTGATCATATCCCCCCTAATTCTACTTCTTTTGAGAGAGTGCAGATTCAGGGCCCTCAGTCTATCCTCATAGGGAAGATTTCCGATACACGTGATCATGGAAACATAAACACATATGCAGTTTAATGTGATCCTTTATTGATAACGTTTTGCCCACACAGTGGGCTTTTTCAAGTCATACACAGATCTACCTGGGGTGGAAGGTACGGGAGTATTTATAGTCATGTTCAGAATGTTGAGGTCAGGTGAAGAATGCTGCATCTGATGATCTACCGGGTGGGCTTATAGAGTCTTGGGTAGCTTGGCAGGGGTATTGGACAAGTTGTGAGTAGACCTTCTGCAGTGTTCTATGTTCTTATGTGGGATAGCGATGAAGAAGTTTCTTTGCAAGTGGTTCAGCTATGTTATAGAAGCCATTGTTCTGGTTGAAATTGTTGGTTATAGATATAAGCGATGATTCCAGGGTTCTTCGGTATTGAGTGTTGTCTTCTGTGGCGATAAGTCTTGAGTTTCTGTAGTTAATTAAATGGTTGTGTGAATTGCGATGTTGTACACAGGCATTCCTTGTATCGTCAGTCCTGCTTGCGTATTGGTGTTCTGAAATACGTGTTTGGAGGACTCTCGATGTTTCGCCCACGTATAATTTGTTGCAGTCATTACAAGGGATTATGTATACCCCTGCAGAGGATGGAAGCTTGTCCTGTCTACTACTGGTGATGTCCTAGTTGGTCGTGGTTGTGGAGGTAGATACTTGGAATGATGTATTGGAAAAGATGTTGGAAATATGTTTGGCAATGGAGTTGGTGGGGAGGACTATGTATCTCTTCTCGGCAGTGTCTTCTCTGGGCGTGTTGAAGATGTTTAATGCCCGCCGTCTGCAGTCTCTGATGAAGTGACGAGGATAGTGGAGTTTAGAAAATACTTGTTCAATTATAATTCATTCTGCCTCAAGGAACTCATTGCTGCAGATTCTGAGTGCACGCAGGAAGAAGCCTATAATTACACCATGTTTAGTTTTGGTGTCATGGTGAGAGTAGAAGTGGAGAAGATCGTTTTGGTTGGTTGGTTGGTTTTCGATAGACTTTAAAATGAAGTTCATGGTCAGTTTTGCAGAGAAGAACATCAAGGAAAGGAAGAGTGTTGTCGACTTCTTCTTCAAGTGTGAACTGGATTGAGGGCTCGACCTGGTTGAGCTTGTCTTGGACTGCAACAAATTATACGTGGGTGAAACATCAAGAGTCCTCCAAACACGTATTTCAGAACACCAATACGCAAGCAGGACTGACGATACAAGGAATGCCTGTGTACAACATTGCAATTCACACAACCATTTAATTAACTACAGAAACTCAAGACTTATCGCCACAGAAGACAACACTCAATACCGAAGAATCCTGGAATCATCGCTTATCTCTATAACCAACAATTTCAACTAGAACAAGGGCTTCTATAACATAGCTGAACCACTTGCAAAGAAACTTCTTCATCGCTATCCCACATAAGAACATAGAACACTGCAGAAGGTCTACTCACAACTTGTCCAATACCCCTGCCAAGCTACCCAAGACTCCATAAGCCCACCCAGTAGATCATCAGATCCAGCATTCTTCACCTGACCTCAACTTTCTGAACCTGACTATAAATACTCCCGTACCTTCCACCCCAGGTAGATCTATGTATGACTTGAAAAAGCCCACTGTGTGGGCGAAACGTTGCCAATAAAGGATCACATTAAACTGCATATGTGTTTGTTTCCAGTGTGTCGGTATTTTATACCATTTATTTTCAACATGTGATCATCTTTGTCATCCTCCTCTGTACGTTTTCCAGAGCATTTATATCCATTCTGTAATACGGTGACCAGAACTGAGCAGCATAGTCTAAATGAGGCCTAACCAAGGATATATAGAGTTGAAGAACAACCTGAGGACTTCTATTATTTATACTTGTAGATATGAAGCCAAGAGTTCTGTTAGTTTTATTGCGAACACTAATGCACTGTTGTCTTGGTTTTAGATTACTGCTAACCAGAACTCCTAAATCCTTTTTGCAATCAGTAGTATTAAGATCTGCATTGTTTAGTTTATATGTGGCATGGTTATTTACCTGTCCAACATTTAGAACTTTGCATTTGTCAATATTAAACTGCATCTGCCACTTCTCCAACCATTGCATCAGTCTATTCAAATCATTCTGGAGTGCTCTAGTGTCCTCATTAGAATGAATTGGACGGGCTGTTTTGGTGTCATCAGCAAATTTGCTTACATCGCTATTTATTCCCTCATCTATGTTGTTTACGTAAATTGCGAACAACAACGGGCCCAACACTGACCCCTGAGGAAAACCGCTTGTGACGTGCCCCCATTCTGATTTCTCCTCATTTATGCAAACTCTCTGCTGCCTATTTGTCAGCCATGCCTCTACCCAGGAAAAAATTTCTCCTCCTATTCTGTGTGCCTTAAGTTTCCTCAATAGCCTCTGGTGTGGAACTCTATTGAAAGCCTTATTGAAGTCTATATACACAATGTCATATTCATTACCATGATCTACCTCCTCAAACACCTTAGTGAAAAAAGTTAGTAAATATTACAGGACCGACACTGGCTCTCAAACCGTAATATTACGAGACCGACACTGAAAGGGTTAAACCAAAAACATTGTCGGAGTTTTTTTTTCCCATGCACTGTGTGCTGCAGGTTTTTTTTATACTGTGCATACTGACCACTCACACCCATACTCTCATATGTAAGCCTACCAGCATTCTACTGCAAGATTGGAAGCCGCTAGAATTTTGGCGTGACATTTCAGGACTGACAGTAAAAGGGATAACACCTCAGCTGCTTCCCACCATGGCAGGGTGACCCAAAAAAAAGGAAACACTTTCATCATCATTCACTCCATCACAGTCTCTCCAGAGGCATGCCTACTCTGCATTTATAAAACTGCAACTTATGAACACCTCCTCCAGTGCAGGCACTGTACTTCCTGCCTCCAGAAGTCCAGTCTGTCAGTTTCCCTGAATCCCTTCATAAATGTTACCTTGCTCTAGGCCTTTTGTGTTGCAAGCAACACATCATAAGGAGCTTGCAATGGTGCAGAAAAAGAGTAGGAAATCAAAGCAGGTTCATTCAGGGGAATGACTTTCTTGTTCTCTTTGAACTCAGTGGCTGTCTTCCACCCAAGTAGGGACACCCAAAGATGAAAACACATTCACCATCTTTCCAGAAGTGTGCTGAAGGAAGGGCTCTTGATCTGAGGAATTAGAGCTACTCCTGCCTTGCTTTAATTAAAACTAATAGTCTGGTGCTGTCTAGCCAATGTTTAATCCATTGTTTCTCTTAGATTCCTGGAGGTGATGATGAGAGTCCCTGCACTCTGAAGGAGGGTTGGGGGATGTTATAGCATGGTGGGCAATCTGATTGTAATGTCAGCACACTTCTGGAGAGACAGCTATTGAAAGAGTGATGGTGAAAATATTTTCTTTGGATCACCCCACCTTGGTAGTATACACTTAAGGTCATCTGTTGGTGTGACCTTTGTAACAGTTGGAGTCTATGTCCCAGACAGTCTTATTATTTATTAATAATGCAGCAATACAGTAAGTCCTCCACTTATAAACATGTTGAGAATCTTTTGTATTTTGTATAATATCATTATTATATATTATACACAATACAGGAGGTCCCCAATATGTTTGTAAGTCAAGGACTTACTGTAATAACATGGGGAAGGTGAGAAGAATTCTTCCTCCATAAGCTGTGTGTGTTATCAGAGGCAACTAAGATGCTGGGAGCATTTTAGTTGCCCTTCTACATAAGTATAAAAAGAAAACCTTTTTGTTTTTCTTTTTAGGTCACCCTGCCTTGGTGGGAGATGGCCAGTGCAGTAAGAAAAAATGGTTTCTGGATATTGTAAGACTTCCTGACATGGGTAAAAGCTCATGGGTAGAGTGCTCCAAGAAAGCTCCCTCATTAATGCAGATCTTCAGCATTTTACTAATGTCTCTGAAGCAAATATTTGCTGTTTACACATGCATAACAGTGAAGATTGATAAATGAGACACAATTGCAATATTTAGGTATCTTTATTCTTGAAACGTTTCACCAGCCAGTGGCTTCTTCAGTCCAGTACAGAGAAAAGTGGAAGCTGAGGAGTTTGAGGGGTAATCAGTCCCTCATCCTGGAGTCAGTGTGTCCAGTCCATATATTCACAGAGATATGGGTTTCTTAAGGTAGTAGGTTGGTAGACAGCAACCACCCAGGGAGGTACTACCGTCCTGCCAAGTGAGTGTAAAACGAAAGCCTGTAATTGTTTTACATGATGGTAGGATTTCTTGTGTCTTTTTTCTGTCTCATAAACATGCAAGATTTCAGGTACGTCTTGCTACTTCTACTTACACTTAGGTCACACTACACATACATGTACAAGCATATATATACACACCCCTCTGGATTTTCTTCTATTTTCTTTCTAGTTCTTGTTCTTGTTTATTTCCTCTTATCTCCATGGGGAAGTGGAACAGAATTCTTCCTCCGTAAGCCATGCGTGTTGTAAGAGGCGACTAAAATGCCGGGGGCAAGGGGCTAGTAACCCCTTCTCCTGTATAAATTAGTAAATTTGAAAAGAGAAACTTTTATTTTCTTTTTGGGCCACCCTGCCTTGGTGGGATGCGACCGGTTTGTTGAAAGAAAGAAGAAGAAATATAAATTTAACCTCACTCTACTTTGGTGAAAAAGAGTCAAGTACCTACTAGGATATTGCTGAGAAGGGAGGAGGAGGAAATGTTATTGTTTGGAAGGAGAGTCCCCTTCTCTTTTCTGTCTCTTATCCCTATTTGGTCCTGGTTAAAGCTCATCAGGTTTGACTTTTACTAAAAATCTGTCCAAAGAACTTTGCTTTTGCCTTCTCAGGATGTGAAGGTTAGTGCACAGTGTTCACTCATTTTGACCTATACAAATTCTAGCACACAAGTTGTATTCCAAACAAACATCGTACACCAAGCAAAAATTTTCACATCCTAACAGGACGTATACTAAATTGGACTTATTCCAAAGTGGACATATGCTGAGGTACCACTGTACAGGCACTGTACTTGCCACTTCCAGGACTCGAGTCCTGCTAACCACTTAGTCAGAACTCGCCTGCCTGTTGTGATTTGTTTCCACTTGCATTACAATTTTGTACCTCGTGACTAATTCGTGTTATTTGCAGTTCATGCGACATCCACTACTCCGAGGGCGTGCAGTCACTCAACTGGGCCAAAGTTATGAAGACGATCATTGATGACCCTGACGGCTTTTTTGACCAGGTAAATAAGATTTTTTTTTTCCAGACTGCAATTTTTTGTGGGGAATGATTCTTGCTTTAACTTCAGTCTTCTTTGTCTTCGTCATCTTTTTCCTCTGTCTCCTCCTCCTCTGTCTCCTCACCCCCCCCCCCCCCCCCATATTTTGTATTAATAAATTAACCATCTCCATGGGGAAGTGGAACAGAATTCTTCCTCCATAAGCCATGCATGTCGTAAGAGGCGACTAAATGCCGGGAGCAAGGGGCTAGTAACCGCTTCTCCTGTATATAATACTAAATTTGAAAGGAGAAACTTTCATTTTTCCTTTTGGGCCACCCCGCCTCGGTGGTATACAGCCGATTTGTTGAAAGAAAAAAAATGAAGCATGTGTTGACACCCAAAAATTCACTAAATATTCTAATGGTTTGTATTTAGTTTAAATTTTGAATGTTTGTTGTTATTATACTATCTTGTATAGTTGTATGATATACTAATAAACAATATACTACTTTCAGATGATTAGGGTGTATACACTGTTGTATGTTTCTCAGTGTATGTACACTGAGAGGTGTATATCTCAGTGTATGTACACTGAAAGGTGTATACCTCATTGTATGTATACTGAGAGGTGTATATATTAGTATATGTACACTGAGAGGTGTATATATTAGTGTATGTACACTGAGAGGTGTATACAATATCTCATTGTATGTACACTGAAAGGTGTATATATATTAGTGTATGTACACTGAGAGGTGTATATATCAGTATATGTACGCTTATAGTTTACATTAATCACTATTTTAGTTATTAAAGTATTCTTGACTGATGACCCTGGTGTAGTAGATAGACTTTAAACCCCATTAACCAACCAACCAGTCTTAATGACCCTCATGTAGTAGACATTAAATCCCATTAGACCAACTGACCAGTCCTAATGGCTCTGGTGTAGTAGATAGGCTTTAACCCCATTAACCAACCGACCAATCTTAATAACCCTTATGTAGTAGACATTAAACCCTATTAACCCACCGACCAATCTTAATGATCCTCGTGTAGTAGACATTAAATCCCATTAACCAACCGACCAATCCTAATGACTCTCCTGTAATAGACTTTAAACCCTATTAGCTAACCAACCAGTCCTAATGGCTGGTGTAGTAGATAAGAGGCAACTAAAATGCCAGGAGTGAGGAGCTAGTAACATCTGCTGTATAAATTACTAAATGCTAGCAGCAAGATAGTAGTAATGCCTTCTACTGTATAAATTACTAAATGAAGAAAAGGAGAAAAAATTGTTTTTTGAGTCACTCTGCCTCGGTGGGAGACGGCCGTTTTTAAAAAACATTTTTTTTTTTTAGGAAGGACGGTCATTCCTGGACCCCGACTCAGATGCGGAAAATGAACAGGAGGAGACCGAAAATTTGGAGGACGACGGAGCGTATGCCCCCACAGACGAGGAGCTGGGGTCTGAGGAAGAGAGCGAGGACTACTCCGAAGGACACTCAGAAGCATCTGATTCAGAATATAGCGAAGGTAAATTGTCATGGAGATTTTGTTGAAGACACATGCGATGACAGGTGTGTCTTGCTACCGTAAGTACTTAACCTGCAAACACGTTGAGAATCTTCTGTATTGTGTATATCATTTATTATATCATTATTGTGCATAATATCATCATTACACACAAATCAGAAGGTCCCCAATGTGTTTGTAAGTTGAGTATTTAATGTACAGGCAGTCTTTGACTTACTATGGGTTTACATTCCAACGAACCCATTGTAAGTTGAAAATATCCTGAGTTGAATATGATATGCTGGTGAAATTGTTTCTTTTTAGGGTCAACCTTCCTCAGTGTTAAAAAAATGCTAAATAAGTAAATAAATAACTACTCTCACTGAATGCCAGACTGTCTTCAGATAAAGATAGCCATGTGATACACATCTAATATCTCATCATGTAAGTTTACCTGGAGAGGGTTTTGGGGGTCAACTTCCCCTCAGCTCGGTCTGAGACTAGGCCTTGTGGTGGATCAGGGTCTGATGGACCAGGCTGTTACTGCTGGCTGCACGCAAGCTGACATACGAGCCACAGCCCGGCTGGTCAGGTACTGACTTTAAGTGCCTCTCCAGTGCCTTCCTGAAGACAGTCAGGGGTCTATTGGTAATCCCCCTTATGTATCCTGGGAGGCAGTTGAACAGTCTTGGGCCTCAGACACTCAATGTGTTGTCTCTCACTGTACTTGTAGCAACCCTGGTTTTTATTGGAGGAATGTTGCATTTCCTGCTGAGTCTTTTACTTTCATAGGGAGTGATTTTTGTGTGCAAGTTTGGTACTAGTCTCTAGGATTTTCCAAGTGTATATTATCATGTATCTCTTTCTCCAGGGAGTACAAATCAAGGGCCTTCAACCATTCCCAGTAATTCAGGTCCCTTATCATACTTGTGTGTACCATGAAAGTTCTTTGTACACTCTCCAGATTAGCAGTTTTGCCTGCCTTGAAGGGGCAGTTAGTGTACAGCAGTATTCCAACCTAGGGGGAACAAGCAATTTGAAGAGAATCATTATGAGCTTGCCATTCCTAGTTTTGAAAGTTCTCATTATCATTATCCATCCTTTCATTTTCCTAGCAAATGCAGTAGATACATTGTTGTGGTGTTTGAAGGCGAGATCCTCTGACATTACCACTCTCAGGTCCTTCACATTACTTTTTCACTCAATTGTATGATTAGAATTTATCGTATACCCTGATACAGTTTTAATTTCCTCAAGTTTTCCATATCTGAGTAGTTGAAATTTTTCTTCATTGAACTTGATATTGTTTTGAGTGGCCCATTTGAAGATTTGGTTGATGTTCGCTTGGACTCTTGCGGTGTCTTCAATGGAGGTCACTGTCATGGCAGTCCAGGTGTCATTCGCAAAGGAAGACACAGAGCTATGGCTTACATCTCTGTCTGTCAGATATGAGGATGAGGAACAGAATGGGAGCAAGTACTGTGCCTTGTGTAGCAGAGCTTTTCACCGTAGCTGCCTCAGACTTTTCTCTGTATACTATTACTCTTTGTGTTGTGTTTGTCAGGAAGCTATAGATCCATATACCAACTTTTCCTGTTATTCCTTTATCATGCATTATGTGCGCTATTACACCATGGTCATACTTGTCAAAAGCTTTTGCAAAGTCTGTGTATACTACATCTGTATTTTGTTTATCCTTTACAGCATCCAAGACCTTATCATAGTGGTCCAGTAGGTGGGACAGGTAGGAGCAACCAGCTCTAAACCTGTGTTGTTCTGGGTTGTGTAATTGATGGGAATCTAGGTGGTTGGCTATCTTGCTTCTTGGAACCCTTTCAAAGATTTATATGATATGGGATGTTAGTGCTATTGGGCTGTAGTTTTTTGCAATTGCTTTACTGCCACCTTTGTAGAGTAGGGCTATGTCTATTGTTTTTAGTGAGTGTGGGATGACCCCTGTGTTCATGCTCCCTCTGCATAGAATGCTGAAGGCATGCGACAGGGGCTTCTTGCAGTTCTTGATGAACACAGAGTTCCATGAGTCTGGGTGTGGGACAGACTGTGTGGGCATGTCATTTATTGCCTTTTTAAAATCTTGTGGCGTTTGGATAATATCCGAGATTTTTGAGATGACCATATTTTGGGTTTCGTTCATAGAGAATTCATTTGGATTGTCGACTCTTAGTCTGGGCAGCGGCTCACTGAACACTGAGTCATATTGGGACTTTAGTATCTCACTCATTTCTTGGTTGTCACCTGTGTGTGTCTTATCTCACCTAAGCAGCGGCCCAATACTGGATGTTATTTTTTCCTTAGATTTGGCATAATAGAAGTATTTTTTTTTTTTTAATTTCCTTTATGGCTTTTAGTTCTTCCTGCGATTCTAGTCTCCTGTAAGATTCCTTCAGCTTAAGTTTGATATTTTCAATTTTGTTGACTAGTGCCTCCCTTCGTATTTCACATATACAGTGGACCTTGGCATAAAGCTATTAATCCGTTCCTGAGAGTTCAATGTTAGGCGAAATTATCGTTAGGCGAATTAATTTTCCCCATAAGAAATAATGGGAATCAAATTAATCCGTGCAAGACACCCAAAAGTATGAAAAAATTTTTTTTTTTACCACATGAAATATTAATTTTAATACACACAAACTGAAGAAGACATGCACATTTACATGACACTTACCTTTATTGAAGATCTGGTGATGATTGATGGGATGGAAGGAGGGGAGAGTGTTGGTGGTCTTAGTGTTTAGAAGGGGAATCCCCCTTCCATTAGGACTTGAGGTGTCAAGTCCTTTTCTGGGGTTACTTCCCTTCTTCTTTTAATGCCACTAGGACCAGCTTGAGAGTCACTGGACTTGTGTCGCACAACATATCTGTCCATAGAGGTCTGTACCTCTCGTTCTTTTATGACATTCCTAAAGTGTTTCACAACATTGTCAGTGCAATAGTCACCAGCATGGCATGCAATAACTGTGTGAGGTTGATTTTCATCCATAAAGGTTTGCACTTTAAGCCACATTGCACATATTTCCTTAATCTTTGAAGTAGGCAACGTCTTCAATTTCTCTCTCCCCTCCTCCGAAGCAGTTTCCTCAGGTGTGGCCTCTTGCTGTTGAAGATGATGTAGCAGCTCATCAGTGGTTAGTTGTTCATTGTCCTCCTCCACCAACTCTTCCACATCCTCCCCACTAACCTCCAACCCGAAGGACTTCCCCAATGCCACAATTGATTCCTCAACTGGCATATGCTTCTCAGGGTTAGCTCCAAATCCCTCAAAATCCCTTTTGTCTACACATTCTGGCCACAGTTTCTTCCAAGCAGAGTTCCAGGTCCTCTTAGTCACTCCCTCCCAAGCCTTACCTATAAGGTTTACACAATTGAGGATATTAAAGTGATCTCTCCAAAAGTCTCTTAGTCAATTGAATTTCTGAGGTCACTACAAAGCACCTTTCAAACAGAGCTTTTGTGTACAGTTTTTTGAAGTTTGCAATGACCTGCTGGTCCATGGGCTGCAGGAGAGGCGTGGTATTAGGAGGCAAAAACTTGACCTTAATGAAGCTCATGTCCCTTAATGAAGCTCATGTCCCCACAAAGTCGCTCTGCCAAGTCTGTAGGATGACCAGGGGCATTGTCTAACACCAGGAGGCACTTAAGGTCTAATTTATTTTCAAATAGGTAATTTTTCAGTGGGGGCAAATGCTTGGTGTAACCAGTCATAGAAAAAGTCTCTAGTGACCCATGCCTTACTGTTTGCCCTCCACAGCACACCCAAATTAGCCTTGAGGATATTCTTTTGCCTGAATGCTCTGGGAGTTTGAGTGATACACCAATAAAGGCTTCACTTTGCAATCACCACTAGCATTGGCACACATTAACAGAGTAAGCCTGTCTTTCATAGGTTTATGTCCTGGGAGTGGCTTTTTCCCCCTGAGTAATGTAGGTCCTGCTTGGCATTTTCTTCCAAAACAGGCCTGTTTTATTGCAATTAAGCAAACAATAGTGAATAAGAAAATTACATAAGGTGACTTATGCTTATTAGTAAAATCACATAATGAGGTAGTTGATTAATTACTAAGAGATTGTACTATGAAATTTGAACAATAATGGAGCAAAACATACACTACACTATGTGGGCTTTTAGGTTGGACATTGTTCAGTCATTCTCTGTAAGATTAGTATCCCTGAGAAATCGTGATAGATCATTCTCGTTTGTGATTGTGTACAGTTGACCTACATTTGTTTTCCTAACTAGAATTTTCCCATCCAGTGTGAAGCATTGGTGTATTGTGTCATTATTCTCCCGCTTAAGTTTTCTGACTCTGTACAGGAGGTTCTGACGTTTTTTGGTAAGACACTCGTTTATGTATACATGTTTGTTTACTTTAATAGATGCAATTATAAAATCTTTTTTCCTGTCATGTGAGTGGAATCTAAGCATAACACTTTTTCTACCATGGGATCCTAGTAACCTGGCTTCTTTTATTTCTGACTCTGGTATTGTAACTTTTGTTTGGTCCTTTATGATCTGCAGAGTAATTTCTTTACTGTTTGTTTGGTTCATATCACTGGGAAAAAGTGGACTGTTAACTATTACTGCGTCCGTCCGATAGTTTATCTTGTTCAGTTTTATGTTCTTGGAGAGCAAAGTAGTCACTGAACTGGTTATCTAAGTTGTTCTTCCATTCTTTTACTGCTTCTTCAACCTTTGTATTAAGAGATATTATTTGTTGGGTATGGCTATCTATGACTGTTTGGATGGTCTTGTCACAGTTAGTCGTTCCTGGTGTTGTTAACTTTTGTTCAAGACTGAGGATTTTGTTCTCGAGTTGTGTCATCCTGGTGTCTTGTTCTGTTAGCGTCTCTCGAAGATTCATATTTTCAATAACTAAGGTGGATATGAATGACTTTAGGGTATCTGGATCGTTCATCATACCTGAGAGACTACTTGGTAGGTTGAATCCGGGGAAGAGAGGGGAGGATGGGCTGGTGGCAGCCATGTTTGTTGTTATTGTTGT